TGCTTGTTGTGGCTGTCCCCATGTCAGCCTGGGCCCGTCCCGCTGGCGTGCAGGAGGACCGGGAGGGCAAGCGGCACAGGGGAGGAGGCGGGCTGGGAAGTCGTAGTACAATTCGGCCAGGATCAGTAGCTGTGACTTGTGTTGGGGGCCTCACAGAGCTGTTCTTCTGTAGTTGCTGTTCTGACAGCTACCCTCGGATGTGTGTGTTAGACACAGATCTAGGCGTAGAAGAATATGGCGTTGATATGCAACATACAGTGCTTACAAAAGTTCTGGTTTCGTGGAATTCCTCTAGCTAAAATGACAAGGAAATGTAGGAGGATATCTCATAACAATAGACTTGACAGATTTCTTGGAAATGTGGCAGAGAAAGTTGGAAGTGATAGAACTAGAACAGATAGCTAATTTGAAGAAAACAGTGGGTTTGGTGACTTGATTTGGTCTTCAACCTGTTTTCCCCCAAAACTGGTTTTGTGCCTGTTGCAGAAATTACTCGCCAAGTAATTGGTGGCTCAAGGACGTATCTGTGAGTTGTACTTTGTGCAGACGCTTTAAAGGCATCTTGCACATGAGGGCTCTCTGTGTCTACATTAGACTTTGGAAGCTCTTCTTGGTGTAACTTCTTTTCTACTCCAAAGACATTGTCATTCAGATGCTATTGAGCATCATTTCATCATTCATTTCTAACCGTGTTGGTTTTTTTCCTAGTACTGTATGTTAACCATATCAGGGCAATACTGAAGTTTTATGGCAGAACATGTATGATGAATACATATAAGAAATGTTTTAGAGAAGTATAAATTCTTTTAAATTGGTGCTTGATTCTCAGAGATTATAATGGTTTTGTATTACTTAGTATGAAAGTTCAGTTTGGTAATCTGCCATCTTGGTGAGTTTGAATGCGATTAAAGACTTTGGATGTGACTTTTCAGAAATAAAAAGACTTGTAAAGTGTTTTCATTCCTTAAACATTAAATTCCTCCCCCCCCTGCCCTTTCCCCTTTCCCCCTGTTTCTGTGACACTCTTACAACAGGATTTTCTTTAAAATGTGTGCTAGTGGGTTTTTTCCTCTTCCTGTTTGATGTATTAAAACTTAAACAGAATAATACATATGCTGTGGTAACTAACTTCAGCCCTAGCCTTTAAAGTGGTTAGACCTAAAGCTCGCTGTTTCTCTACAGCTATTTAAACTGTTTTCAGGAGAATGTCTGTGAAGAGACCTAACAGCACAAAGTTGGGGCTCTTAGGGGTGCCATTGGATCGCATGATAAATGTAGGTAGAGATATATTTCAGAAGTCTTGAATTTTTCTAGTAGTGTTGAATAAAATTGTCAAGAGCTTTTGGAAAATGCTTAATTTGCTTTACGGGCTTTGCTGCAGAAGGGTCAGTTTTTATTAATCAGATGTAGATGCTTAAACTCATCTTCAGAAGATAAAGGAAAAAACTAGACTGGGATATTCCGCCTAAATGGCATGTTTGGAATTCTTACATGTTGTCATAAAGTATTGGGGTTTTATAAATTTTTATGTGCAGGAGTCCTGACTAAATGTTGAAATTATCTTGGAAAGAACAGAGAGAACCTTGTGGCCTACTTGTTCAGCTTTTTCCGAGTACTCTAACCTTGTACAGTTCAGTAACTATTACGTTTTGTAATACAAATCTAGTAATGGAAGCAATGCTAATATACGCTAAAAGTAAACAGGATTTTAAATATCAGTGGAAAAAATGGTATGATGGACTCTAAGATGCTCAGAGGGCAAAACGGATTTTTAGGACATGTTTTAAAAAGAGGAGGGGGGGTGTCTCGTCTTCCATGCTTATTCTAGAGGCATGTTCTACAAAGGCAGGATTGCCTTCAAAAAGCCTATACTCAGGAATGATGCATTTCAACTTGCCTCCCTCTAATTTGATCTGAATTTCGTGATGTGTCTTTTATGACAGATGTTCCCACAATAGTGCAGAAGAACTGCGAACACCAGAACTGAGGTTTCTTGGGTGCACTTTCCTGCCCCATAACATTCTGACTCAAAACAGTTGGAGAATGTGCTATTCTGCTTATCAGGCCAAATACAAAAGAAAATAAAACCGAAAATGGGGCTCTGAACTGGTCTTAATTGGGTGGTTTGTGATCTGGAGCAGAAAGAATACTCTGTATGACTCCATTCAGCAGGCAGGACGAGCTGCTTTGGGCTTCCAGAACTGCCGCTGGCATTATCTCCCACTTGCTTGTCTGGGCCTCAGTACTGCCTGAGCTCCCTCTCCATCAAAAGGTCCCAGTGCCGGCCTCTCTTGACGAGTGGCTGTGTAAAGGTTGGATTTGCCTTTTGAGCTCTAGGGGTTGGTTTCAGGATATATGACTTCTGTAAAAGGTTCTGTGTTTGTCGTGAGCAGCCCTTTCTCCTACCATTTTATACTCCTCAAGTCTAGAGGAAGCTTGCTGTTTGGTTCCCTAGGGGAGAAGGTCAGGGATTAGTTTCAGCTAAATGGTTTCTCAGTTTTCTGAAGAAGCATTCTGTCATGTGGAAATAGGAGTAAAATTTTCATTTCGTTGCTGAAATGATGTCTTCTGATGGGTGTGGTTTTGGTCTAAGGGAGATTCCTGCCCGTAGGAATAATAAACTGAAAAAGAGAGCATAAATTGTGAAATGTTCATGTTTTGTGTGTGGTCACTGAGCAAAACCACTCTGACAGAGCTTGACTAAATACACAGCATCTTTGGTTTTCAGACCATCGTTCCTATTTGCTCTGCAGAGGCAAGGGCTTTTAATATGTAAAACTGTAGGCAGATTACAGGAATGGCTGCAGGTAGTGCTTTAAAATATTTGGAAGGAGTTGGAAGGGACCTCTTGAGATCATCTGGTCCAAAGTCATATCCAGCTTGTGTAAGTACAATATAAAAACCATTCTCATGGAGAGATCTTTGCATTTTAAGTCACTCAGTCAAAGTGTCTCAGGTAGCTGTGTTTTTTGTTGCGGCCTTACGCAAAAGGTCAGAAGGCTTTCCTCCTCTTCAGAAGACCAACATGGTGTAAGCCAAGGCAAAGCATGGACAGCTTCAGGCACACACTGTTTTCGAAAGGCTTTTCCAGGCTTTCTTTGTAAGTCATTCCATTGGAGTCTCTGTGCACTGCAAAAAGCGAATCGAAAGAATTCGTGTCCCTTTGGTTAAATCAAAGTAGATGATTGGCTTCAGACGGGAGATACCCCTTCAGCTGGAGCCAGTTCTGCCCTGCTTGTGAAAGCAAGCCCAAACCACCCCCACGTTTCTGTGATCCCCGTTCCAGCACTGCCAGTTTTGTTTGCGTTTAAATGTAAGTCACTGAGCCGCTGGGAAGTGGGTTGTTGAGGGACGAAGCTCCAAGAAACAGAGAGTGGTGGCGGGCTCTCTCCTTTGTTCTGCCAGCCTCGAGCACTCGCAGCAGGGGTGAATCGTGTTTAGGGAACAGCGATGAAAGCAATGGCGCAGAGTTTTCATGCATAGCCGAGTGCTTACCTTCTTGCAGGGCAAGTCAGACTTTAGAATCTGCTTTATGCGGGTGAGACTTTGCTTTGTTTTTCTCCAGAGATCTATTGGTTTGTAGCCTAGCAGGAGCAAAAGCAGCACAAGCTAGATCAGGAGAGAACTTCACGCATTAGCAGGCTCTCCTTTGGTGACCTTTGAGAGCGGTTTGCTGTGGACATTCAGACTATTGAAAAAAACTGAACAAGATTTTGCTGCTTGTGTTTGATGATCAAACCTGAAGATTTCTTGAAATGTGCTGTTAGTGTGTTGAGACAATTAAAGCGTGATGTTACAAAGAAAGTTTTGCTTTTGTATCTGTAAAGGAATTCTCAGAAGTGCGATGTAGTTACATATTAACAGACATTTTTGTGAATTGATTAATGTTTTTTCTGTATTTATGTTGTTTTCAGAATACACGGATGATAATGCCCTGATTCCTAAGAACTCGTTGGTGATTGTTAGGAGAATCCCTGTTGGAGGAGTTAAAGCTACCAGCAAAACACATGACATGTAAGTATCCATAAAGCATTGTCTTCTTTCTGAGGAGTTTCGGTGTGTTAACTTTCTAAATGGGTATTAGTCTACAGAGGCATTCAGATTGTGTCTGTCTTGTTAAAGCTGCTGTTAGTTTTTGTTGTCGTGGGGTAGATTTTAATGTATCTTTCCCGAAGTTGACTGAGATTCTTAGGCCTGCTGGGACATGGGGTTCAAACTCCAACGATGGTAAATTTTAGGATGATTCCATTGGGTTTGTTCTTGGGGTTGATTTTTCTGAGCACCAAGTTGTAGATTCTGTTCCCTCTGCATGGGGAGATTCCTGATTCTATGGGTTTGCTTTTATAGTGAAGACAGATATGCATTGTAGCATAAACTCATCGTTTGTTCCCTTCTCAGCAGAGTCTGATTCTCAGTGTTTGGCTGTTTCTTGCATTTGGGGGAGGGTGGGTGGGTATAGCAGGTATTCTTATGCCCCAAACCTGGGGGTTTTACATACTAGCTACAGAGGCAAGACCAAGGGTTGCCAGCTGGCAAAGCATGCAAACAAGAAGTTCCATTCATACCCAATTCCTGTTAGTTTCCTAAAGACAATGTCTGTTTCAGGCAAGAGTAAAAGAACAATATCCTAAAGTGTGTTGCCTTTTGTGCGAGTACGATGGAGGAATAGTTAATCTTTTCTGAACCTGAAGCTGAGTAAAATTACAGATACTGAAATGCAGTCCTGACCACAGGCTTATTGCTGTCGTTGATGTATTCACAGTCCAGTTCTGTATCACGTGTGTTAGCATTGTTGAATGGGGTGTTTTCCAGACTTCTTCAAGATGACTTTCAACCTCAGTTAGTAGATGTTATTAGCATGTGGTTTTGCCATGTCTTTCTCATGTTGGTTCTCAATAAAGTACGCTGGTGATTTACAGCGTGTCTCAAACAAAGAGTGAATCAGCCTCCTGGTACCCATGAAGCATTTACAAGCAAAACCCCCTGAATTTATGTGGCTCAGCATGTAACCTTTGGGCCTATTTAGTAGTTGCAGTGCTTTCAGGCACTGCCAAGCAACTCTGGATGCCACAGCGTTGTGCTTATAAACATGGCCTCGCTTGGGGGTTGATTTAAATGTGCGTGCTCAGTGCTGTCTTGTCAATGCCTCCTCTGTTTCTGGCTGGATGGCCCCTCTCCTGGTATGGTAATGGTGCCCTAAACGGAGAGGATAGAAGCTGCTGGCATCAAAGGTCAAATCAATGCCTGTGTGGGGGTGGGGATAAGGAAAGACTGGCACTGCTGTGGTAGCGTTGAAAATGGACCAGGCAGATTAGCTTTGTGTTCCTTCAGCTGGAAACATTGCAGAAACAACGGGTGGAGTGGTTAATGTTTGGGAGTGAGGAGCGTATGCTGGAAGGGTGGAGAGGCCTTCAGAAATGCCTTACTTGCCCCGTAGTATGTTCTTCCAAGGTGAATGGGTGAGGAAACCATTGTGTGGTAATCTAAAGTATTTGGTGTGCTTCCTCAGCTCCGGGAGGTAGTGGCTGTAATTGCAAGCCTGGTGGTGTCCTAGCAGTGTCAGGAAGCCTGAGCCTTTCTGTTTGTACCTAAATTCCACAGAAGCCTTGGAATTGCCTGTGCTCATGGGACACCTTGGATGATGTATGAATTGTCTGTGAACTATATCAACAGTTGCATGTCTGATTCATGATGAGTATCACGCAATACAGATCAATGATCATGTGGAATCTCAGCAAGATTTCAACATTGTAGCATTTTGAAGATGATCTTGGAGCAAATTCTGGGAATTAAGAATTTTTTTTTTTTTTTTTTTTTGTCACAGGGCTCCCACGTTGCACAAAATCCTAGAAACAGCTTCCAGGTGACATTTCTACTACTATTTCTAGTCACTATGGCGTACATAACCCATTTCGTATTTGAGCACTTTCGTGGCTGAACACAGTGCTTGGGCTTCCACAAAGAAACACTGTTCTGCAGACTGTGCTGCTGACGTTTTGTTATTTCTTGTTATTCTTATTTCTTTGGCAGATGACTGTTTTTTTTTCACTTAAGCACTTCGAAGTGCCGAGGCACTGTCTGTCTTAGAAACTCAAGGGCTATATCTGGTACCTATTTGTAATACCGGGGACGTACAGACTGGCTAAAGTTACCGTCCCAGTTTGATGGTTGGTTGTTGCTAAACACAAAACTCTAGTACAGACTTCAGCTTTTTGATACGTATGTAGCAGAGACAAAGTATCTGCGGACTTCCCCTCGCACTGCTGTGTTCTGTATCTGTGAGTCTAGAATACTTTGTGACAAATCAGAAATGGGATTTTGGGGCTCTTCAGTATCACTGAATGTACCAAGAAACAACAGTTTCTCTATATGAATACATTTCCACATTCACTGGACTATCAGAACATAATGTTTTGATGTTCAGGTCTTATGATCTGTTTTCGCTGCTCTATGTTGGGTGCAAGTGCTTTATTTTAAGTTCTGATCACCTTTATTTCTTTTTCTGGAAGTGAAACTGAGCCAGTGAGTGGAACATCAAAAGCAGTATGTAAAAACACAAGCTCACACTTTTTTATGTGCACTGCACTTAATTCTAAACAAAGTAGCCTTTTATTAATTGTCCAAATGTTAACTTAATATATTTTCCAGTAAAACATAGCGTATGTTGTAAACAGAATGTATTTGATTCAGCATAGTAAAAACCAAGTAATGCCATCATTGTACAGTTCTAACGTGAATATTGCTATTTGTGCCTAGTCATGCGGTATTTCATGCTGAATAGCCTGGAATATTTCCTGTACGACTTTGTGTTGCACAGATAATGTACCATCGTTTTTAAATCCTGTATGTTCAAGGTTTGCACAACTGAGCACGGCGCTGTGTTCTACGTGTGTCTGTCTATAGCTAGTAACACTTATGTTTGGATAGCACGTGGTGTGCTTTTCTTTTCCTGCAATTAAATAGTTTGGCATGTGTTTTTTGCCATTTTCACATTGTTTCACTCAGCTTTTGTTTTTAAGTCCCTTTTTTTTGCCTCATGGTTTTTGGAATTGTTATCCAAAACCACTGAAAGGCCATGGTTGCTAAACTGGGTGGTGTTTCTTACTTTTGACTTGGGGCTGGTTTCTTACTTTTGACTCGTGGGTTCAAACAAATACCAAACCCAACGTATCCCATACTTTTTGGGGACAGTTATGTGCAGCTGAATGATTCCTTTTCGTGTCCTTAAACACTTGGGTATTTGTTCCTAAACCTGTGTAATTGAAGTGATATTGTTTGGGCCTCTCTGAGTCCGTAAATGTCTGTAGTAGACTGCCATGAGTTTGAGAATCGTTGCTACGCCGAGTGTTATTCTAAGGTTCTGCATTTGATCTTTCCACTTTATCTGATGAAGCAGTTCAGTTGAATAGTTTGTCTGCAAATGCCGATATCTAAAGCCCAGTGTAAAAATGCTGGCACAAGGTTAGATCGTGGTGCATTTGTGGGCAGAATCCCTGTCATTTTCTTAACTTCTGCCTGCAGTACATGTTTGGGTCTGGGTGACCTCAGGATTGGAAGGTCCTTTAATTTCCCAAAGGTCAAGCCTTTCTTTAGGACACCACCACTTTTGGAAAAGTTACTTTTGGAAAAGGGGCAGCAATTTTCTTCAGGTTTGAAAATGCTGCCGTTCTGCTGCCAAAATGTAAATAAGTAACACAAGGGAATACTTGACTGGTAGTGGTCTAGATCTTGGTTTGCCTCTTGGATCAAATGCTATGTGCAACTCCACATTTCAAAATAGTTCTTATAGTATACATCCTATATGTGGCATTTTTTATTTTTCACCTTTATTGGAAGTATAACTACTTCTTCACTAGAATGGTGTGAGGCATTACACTAACCCTGGTCACTGGATCTGATCACTTTATAAGCTGTTGGGATGGGTTAATCTAGAAATCCATGAACTCTGGCTGTGTGTTCAGTGAAAAGTAAAGCCTCTGATTCTCGTGGAACTGTATAAAATCAACTTAAAATTGAAAACTTTTCTGTTCAGAGGTCTAAAACCACTAAGTCTAAATCTAACGTCTGTAATTCTATCACTGATTGCTTTGGATTCCTTTTTGGACGTGAATGCCTCTCATTGTGAGCTTGAGTTAGTCAGGTTGGCCCAGTGACCCTACTGGTTCACGTAGCGCATTTATGAGAACTGTCTTTGTAGCATTTGATCTAATTCAGATGGGTTGAATCTTTCCACCTCCTGTGTTCCCTGGCATGTCTGTGTTGCATTTCTAAGTAGCATCTTACCATAAGCCAACACAGATGTCTCAAAAAACAAAACAAAAAAAAAAAGGAAAAATCCTGCATTGGGAGGGAAGACTTAGTGTTAGTTAGAACTAATTAAGGTAAATGAAAAGCAAAGCAAAAGCCTTCCCTTCTTGTTTGCTGTGACTGTACTTGATTTGAGTTGTCAGTAGTGTGGTGGTTTGGCCCTGGTTAGATGGCAGGTGCCCACCAAAGC